ATCGCTGTGAAAAATACGCAAGAGAATCTCTAACTCTCACCATTTGATCACGCAACGTGACAACATCCACGCGAGAGCCCCTGACATGTGCGTGAATACACGCGGATATATGACGTCAGTATGGCGCAATTTGTTCTAAAAATAGAAAAATTGTCCCATATCATAGGTGCGCGCGAATCCCGAGACTTACGGTCTCCGTCCCCGATTATGGCTCCTGATAAAATCTCCTTCTTTAGTGATTGGGGCCTCAAACTTGGCCATTTTGATACATTCGACATGCTTTTTCCATTTCTGGCATTCGCTAAGTTATAGCCCATATAATTGTATGAAAAATAGGTCACTTGATGGCTTAGCTGCAAAGGGCCTATTGTTTGTAATTGGTGAGCGGCACGTCACGGTGACAGTGATGTTGCGATTTTCCAGAATTAAATAAAAGGTCCACTCCTTGCTGATTGACCCGCTGATGAACTACTCTAGGTTCAGCCCAAAAGGTAAAAAATAGGGGTAGTACAACTACATAGCAGCTCAGTCAGCTTATCATGAATACTTGCCTTCAAATCAAAATCTGAGTCCACAGCAAAGAACAACGTTTTTCCCCCAAGTGACTCATGTATCAATTTAAACATCCAGGTATATTTGCTTTTCTCCGGGGCATCGCACACTCTGCAAGCAAGACAGACATGTACGGTGACCAAGCACAGCCAACTATAACAGAAATCTAAACAGGACCGGAAACATTGACATAACAGATATACAAGAGTTAGCCTTAAAAGGTCACGATACTGCCATGCTTAGGCTTTTTTTACTGGATCCAAAATGATCTTGAGCGTCAACGGCAAGTAACTGAAGGAAATCAAGTACCAAGTCATAAGCGAACCTTCAGATAACGGCAATTCCTTATTACACACCGTCTTGCCTTACCATGGAAAATAACTGACAAAGCCATATATGGACCATAAACTATGAATAGTGCAATCACAGTGTTTTTAAGATACCTGAATTTTGTGAGAGGAATTGCCTCCATAAAGTTTTGATCATCAGCTGTTTTGTACAAGTAAAGACACCCAGCACTTAGAATCATATAACGCCAGGGCCCTACAAGGAAAAGCAAAGTGAGTGTTATTAGATGATTCTAGTCTTCCTTATGAATTAGATTTTCGAAGAGTTGTAGCTCTCCTCACTTGAAGAAAGAGTCCAAAAGATAATCCACTCACGTAACTATGGTTACCACACCTAGATAAACGTCATGTCTGTGACGATGTTAATTTATGCATGTTAAGTTAATTTCTACAGTTTAGTTTACATCTGGGATCCCGGATGTGCTCGCTCGCTTCACTTGATGTACACTCGGTTTAGCTCTGCTTACAAGATTAAAGGTTGTGTTTGGAGGCTCTGGTGCTTCGTTGTCTGTCTCAGCGAATACGTTACAATATCCTAAAATAGCCAGGGCTTTGATTTATCTCATCTTATTCTGGTCTATTCTATAGCTGCGATGACGTTTATTCTGTAGTTCGCCTTTTGAACCCCATTGAAACATGGTTCGCCTTAGCGTGGAACGCAGTACAAGATATCCCATTCAGGGAAATACTTCTACAAACTATAGGACATCTGTTACCTTTAAAACTTTACTTGGGTAAATGCATGAACACGTGAAAAATCCAATTTCCCCAGGGGAACATTGAATTTCCGTGTAATCACGTCTATTGTTCTTATAAAAATCATTTCACGTTCGGTGTCAATTTTTATTTCGTACATGACGTTGTTATTCCTTTTCGGGTGTAAATTTAGCTCAGTTTTTAGATGTTCAGCGTACACAACAGCCCAGTTCTATTATAACAGTGGACCAAGTTCGTGTAATTACGAGTCACCGGCTCTAAGAAGTCTAAAGTCACCGCATGGATTTTATGCACGGTGAGTAATCGAGTCAAAACCTGAGCGTTCATTTAGATTTAAATCAATCGACTCATTTCATCTTATGGTTGATTATAAAAAGATCCTAAAACCGGAAAATGCTTCGTTAAATAAACCGGCCAAAGTCAACAGATATATCTATTCATAGGAACCAAACTCTAAGGCGCTTTAGTGTAAGTTTAATTAAATACGTTGTCAAATACTTTTGCCAAGAAGGTCTTTTCTATTATTTTCACTGTCTAAAATAACCTTGCAAGCATCTATATCGTTACTTTGTAGTCGAAGCTATTGGGGTTTTGAACTTTTAGAGTACGTATTCCCCGAGCCTCTTTATAAGTGTCTATCAATACTTACAATCGAGTACTTTTACGACCGAGCGCAATCCTGCAATGTCTTCTTTCCTCACCCAACCAAAAAGTCTTGGACTATTTTTAAGCAGCTCCTGAGCGGAGAGGTTGGCAAATGGTTCAACAGCTTTAGCCATTTGACAACTTGATTGGGTCGACTGCCTATGAATATAAGAAAATTTGTTTCATGAATAACTTCGCTTAGGCTGGGTGCAGACGCCCTCAGTCAATTGCCTTTCAGAGGTCTACACTCAGGCTAAACTTCGCTTTTATTTCGGTCACCGTACCCCAAAACGCAGACCATGCAGACTGCAGACCGTGCAGACTGCCAGAGTACTTTTTTTCTAACACTTGACTCATTTTTTCCCCACAAATCGCTTTTGCTTCACAAAGTACAGAATCGCTATTAGACTAGAAGTATTCCCTCTTTCGCTCAGTTGACCGTAAGTAAACCTCGAGGAAAAAAAATGCTCGCATGAAATTTTTTCCTCGAGGTTTTCTTATGCATCACGCACGATGGACCAAGCGAAAGAGGGGCCACTCGTAGTCTAAATCGCCATAAAAACACAGCTGCCGTGGTGCAGAAGGCAACAAACGTGTCAAACCACCAGAGATTTCTTTAATCTTTATTTTAGTTGATTAGTAGACTCTGAAGAGTGGATCTCTGAGCCTTGGAAGAACTAATACGATGAAGCTTGAATACAATTGAATGCTCGCAATACTGACGCTGATCGCAACTGAAATCGAAATCTAAAATTCTAGTCCTAAAACGAACTATTCATGAGCTGTCAAATAAAGGAAAACGAACTGTTCATGAGCTGTCATATACAGGAAACCGCAGTTAATCGCTAAAAATAATCACGCATTGTTCAAAGTCACGCATTCTTCGTAAACCACGGGCTGTTCGTGTTCATGTTCATGGATCACGCCACGAAAGTAGAACTGTTCGTTACGTGCCATAAGGACAGATAAATTAACCATCGTATCAACTCATCACGGCAACCATACTGCGCTAAGAATTTCAAATGCTATTCGGTTTTCCGTGATCTTTCCATGCGCTAGGCTTTTTTTGGCGTGATTGCAGTCACACTCCAACAGCCATTTGGAATTACATTTTGCACACCACGAGTAGAAAATGCACATGTTACGTGTGACATTATAATGCAAGTAAAGTTTATTTCTACATTTTAAACTAGCTTTACTTGAGCATATTTAGAACTAAAGCGAGTTTCCCTCGCAAAATTCGTAACACATGAACAGTCACATATCACCGAGTTTGCGCGGCCTGTGGATAACAAACACTCCGGTATATAATTGAACAGAACCAAAAAATATGCGAGTCAAAAGTAAATGCAAAAACAAGAATATGCAGAAAAAAAGTACTCGGTCTTCACAGTCTGCATGGTCTGCACGACCTGCACGGTCTGCACGGTCTGCGGTCTGCAGTCTGCAGTCTGCATGGTCTGCGTTTTGGGGTGACCGGGGAAGTTCTGAAGAGAAATGCTGTCGGTGCAACAGGAGCCGAGTAACAGTTTGTTCTACCAGTACAAACTGTCTTTACTCACTTCTGTTCTAAGCTGGTATGCCAGCTTAGAACAAAAGCCCCTCAACAAGTGGCAACAACTACCGGCGCCTCACAAAAGACAAATAAACAAAACCGACAGTTTGAATTGTCCGCAGTTCTTTTCAAAATCGTTGCAATAACGTTGTATTTTGATAGTTCTATCATTGGTCCATTATGGACAAGACAGCATGAATTCGATAATATCCTGGGTGATACGTGATAACCACTCAATACGGTTCTCCTAACAAGGAGTTTTACAAATTGGCCGGAAGACTGATTTCAAAGTCTGGAAAAGTGGAGCGTGACATACCCGAATTTTTACACTTTCTTCTACGAACTAGCGTAATTACAGATGGCTTTGGTTCTGTCGAGATGGTGCTACCTGGCGATCTCCGCTGTCTACCGTTTGGCCCATTACAGCTACTGAGCTACAATTGTGTTAATTGTAAACTGGCACATGTGATTCTTGACTACTAAGTTCCTCATCCCGCACAACTCGTACAGGGCTGATCGAAACATTTTCTGCGATCTCAAGTCAATTTTTAGCAAGAATAAAGTGGGTACGATAAAGGGGTTTAAACAGTTGTAACATGGATTGTATGCGTAAAGTCAGTCAGTGAAGTTTAGCAATGCCTCATTAAAATGCGCGTTTACTAGTCACTGACTGTTACGCTTAGCTAGGGACGTGACAAAGGATTACGAACCTTCAGCAGCCATGCATAACTCAACGAAGCACGTATGCATTACGAATTGTACACTTTCTGCGTTCTTTCTTAACTTCCATACAAGTTGTTGATCCAAAACGTGCCAATTGCATAAAAGTGATGTCGGGTTTTCTGTTCAGCTGTATGGTTAGATTTTCGTTTCACTGAGGCAAAGAGAATACATGGGTTATCCGTCTATTCAAAATGGCGCCCGTGCCCTTCCAACCAGGAAGTGGTCGACTGAAGTGAGCTTTTTACACGATTAAAATAAGAAATAAAAATCATTTGCTACCGACATAGAGGTCATCAATTCGCGACTTCTGAATGTTGCTGTTTGATAGCGTACCCAGACGTTTTACGAATAGACAAATGCTCGGATTTGCAAATGAGTATTGTGAAGTCTGCGCTGTGTAATAACGAATCAGTCCTAGAAGTACTCTATAAAGAGCATGAGTGTCTCCGCGAAAAAGCTTCCAGATCTAAGCAACTCACTCTTCTTGTAAAAAGTGATTTGAATCTAACGCACGCAATATTTCTTTAACTTATCTTACTCTTCCTTAACGGACTGGTTCTTTTATTGGTAATCGATGCTGTCTACGTAAACAAGCGTTTATATGGTAGCTGCATTAAACTCTAACACCTTACCGTTATTATGCGCTTCGTGTTGTTAGCGATAGCTTGTCACCTCCTTTGAATTTTGTCAATATTGGCCTCGGTGACATTCATTACGGAGCGGAGATACCTGTAAGCAAAACATAGACGCTTTAGACGATCTAACAGATCTACGCAGTGTGAATCGACTGCGTTTGCTTTGGCTGATGCATAAATTTACAGGGTCACTGAACGAAGGTCAAAATTGATAAATAAGTTGATAATGCGTGGCATGTCACGCGCATGTATGAATCGAAACTGAAACCGTTGGAAGCAAAGATCCCCAACGTTGAGTGCAGACGGAAACAAGAATAAGCATACGGGCATCAGTGACGTGCTTACGCGCGATCTGTTTCACTTTCAGTCTCATGTCCGCGTGGATTGTTCAAGCCAGACATTACATACACCTACATCGTTCATTTTACTGTGGTGAACACATTGGCGTAACGCAGCACGGTTTGTTTATCTTAAAGATATTTTAAAGATGAATACAAAATTACTGTTTATAGTGAATTCATTCAGACCAAGCTTTGTGACACAGTGCTGCTTGTTGTGTTCTTTTATCAATCGTCCGGAAAAACAAGTACTGTGGTAGATTACTGCTGATCATCTTGCTCATTGAAATAAAGTTGTAAATAATAATGATAAAAGGATAGAACTATGCCTTGATCTCTAATCCTCGAGAATATTTTCATTTTGCACGCTAATCATGATAACGGAATGAAATTTATTTCTTCGCACCCTCGTAAAATCCCAGACTCCCATTTGGTCGGTGTCACCTTTTTAATACAAAGGTAAAGCCCCAGAGATTGATTTAAATTTTTACCTCGGTTGATTTCAAATAAATTTTGCCCGGGTAAATCATATTTCCCTCGGTAAAAGTCTGTAGTGTGACCACAGCTAATTATTAGCTAATCCCTGGAAAAAATTATTGGACTTAAGTTGACTCAAAATAATTGCTGAAGGAGTTAGCCACCAATTGGTTTGGTGTCAACACCAAGGAATGACTTTAAGATAATTAACGTAGAAGATTGACGAGGAAAAGGTTTTATTTTGGAAAGTATGTTTATGCAATAATCAACAGCGGGTGCATAACAGATTCTCGGAGACTGATCAGTTCCCTGGAAAACGATTGAGCAATTGTAGCCCTACTTTGCATCTATATTTTTATGATTTGACGATGTTAGAAAGTCGGCTATGCACACTACTCTTACTAGTAGACCGCGACACTCACGAATTTTTTTGCCGCCTTCAGAGTAACGTTTTTGATGCCGGGAGTTTGTTTCAAACCAATCACGTGGTACATTGAAATGCACCACGTGATGACATTTTTCCTGTGTGGCGACATGACTTTAATTAGGTGATGTTCATTCACAACGTGGTTATTTTCAAGAGGAAAGCTTTTCGTGTCGAATGCGTCTAAAAAACCGATCCGAATTTGTCCTGATCATATTTTATCTTCAGCTGATAAACAGCGGCCATGCTGACAATTCTATGGCAGACAAAAAGCGCGGTAAGCTTTCCTCTTGAAGATAAACACGTTGTGAATGAACATCACGTAATACGAAAAAGTCATGACACCACACAGAAAAAAATCTCCTCTCGTGGCGCATTTCAATCAGGGTTTTAATGTACCACGTGACTGGTTTGAAACAAACTCGTGGCATCAAAAACGTTACTTTGAAGGCGGCGAAAAAAAGTCGTGGGTATCGCGGTCTACCGGGAAGAGTAGTAATTTAGCTACATTATCAAGATACATTGTTCTTAGGGCCGATTTACACGGTACGACTTTGTAGGACAAGTACTTTTCACTTACAAAATTAAATATGCAAAAGTTTGCACCGGGATTTTCGGGGCGGAAGTTCTAACAAATGGTAAACAGATATTTTATCTGTCCTGTGCTTTGAAAAAACTTTCTGACGAGATGTTTTTCGCTTTAATCCGTTCAGTACTTTTCGAGAAACGACTTCATGTGAATCAGTCAACAAGAACTTCGTCCGCCATTTTGACGCAAGAAAACTTCACATTCGTCCCCTACTCAGTATAAATTTGTCACAAAATACGTCATTTTCTATCGATTTCGGCTACGATTGTCTCAGCGCTTTAAAACATGTTTTAAAATCCTACGACAGTTTTTTTGACGTACACAACAGTCGTTAGGAAGTTGTAGGTTTGATTTACACGAAACAATTTATGTCGTAGGCCTGTCGTAAGCTTGTCGCATGCGACAAAGTCGTACCGTGTAAATCGGCCCTAAATATTAGAGTGACACTGAACAAACGCTGATTTACCCTCACTATCAAAAATATAGGTCCACAGTGCGTACTTGTGATGTTTACTTTTGCGCCATTGTTTTGAATGTCAGTATATGGGAGTGAAAGTGCAACAAGTTGGTTGGAAATCACAGGAAAGGTTGCCGATATCAACATAGACCAGTCATTTTAAATTCTATGCGGGAAACTTTACGGAGAGCAGAACACTTTATTTACAGAGTCAAATTAACTGGCACATGTTCATGTAGTGTGAAGATGGTTTCCTGGATTTATGAAACCAGTTACACAGTTAGTCCCAAATAGACTTCTTGTCCATGGTTTTGAATTGTTCTAAGGTGCTGATAGCTTTTTGCCCTGACTGTAAAGAAATATTGACATGTTGAATAACAATAATCAGTTTACATGGTTCTTATGTTAAGATGTCACTGTGACATTTTGTATGCTTCTTACGATAGACTGTTGTAAGGTTACATGTATATGTTGCTGTAGTGGTTTGCATAATATTTCCAGGATAGGAGTGTACATCAGTGTTTGTATCAGGATTCAGTTTGAATCATCAGTGACTGTCAGACACAGTTGCACAAAGACTAAGGCTAAATGAAAACTGATTATTGTTATTGACTTGCGAGATAACTCAACTCCTCGCGTGGAAATGTTGATCAGGTGTTGATACAAAGTGAAATGTGCCTAAATTTGGCTTACCGGCACTTATTGAAATATAGAATATAGAATACCGGAAATATTTCACAGCTATTGACATTTCATTAGCGGCGAAATTTTCTCCGAAATAATACTAGTATAAAGAGATCTTTCGCAGTTATTGAAATTTCATTAACGGCGAAGTCGTCACTGGGAATAATACAATAAAGGGAATATTTAACAGTTGCAGTAAAACCCGCATGTAAATGTAAGAAACTAGAACCTGTTGGCAGAGATTTGCCATTTTAATACCCCAAAAAATAAGAACGTTTTTAGCCCAGCAATATCAAGCAGGTCCTTATATGTGAGTTACAATTAAATTATGATAAACATTTTAACCAAGCTAAGGAGTGTGACCTTGAGATTGCAAATTTACATTAAAAGAAAATACCTCATACAGTTTTGAATAAATACTGTATATTTAAGGACCAAACCCAAGTTTATTTATTTTTCTAGTAATCAACAGCAATAACTCCTTCATAGAAATTAAGAACCTAATTACTGAAGAATCTACTTTGCCTAAATTGCCAATAACTAACCCAAAATACAAGAACCTACTTCGCCAGACTTCGAGAAATGTAGGTTCTTATTAGTATACTGGGAGATCTTTCGCAGTTATTTTAAATTTCATTAAGGGCGAAATTTGTTGTAGCAATTAAATATTTTTCGCGTTTGTTGCAAATTCATTAACCGAGAAATAGTGGCTTGGAATAATAAAATGAAAAGAGATCTTTCGCTATTGTTAAAACTGCAGACGAAGTCGTCACTCGAAATAAGAAGAATATTTCGCAGTCATGAGGTTTCATTAACGACAAAGTAGTCACCTGGATTAATAGAACAGACGAAATATTTCGCAATTTAATATTGAAGTTTCATTAACTGGGAAGTCTCTTCCCTTGGTGTAATGAAATTTATGAGCAGAACAACTAGCAATTAATACATTTTTTAGCACCGCGAAGTGTCTCCTGTTATAATAACTAGGACAATAATTTGTAGTTATTAAAAGGTTTCATAATGGCGAAGTCTCCCTTATTGAGGTAGAATATGAAGAATAATTCGCAGTTTCTTAAGCTTTATTTACTGCGAATCCTACACTTAAGATGCGAATGTGTGACTCAAGTATATTTGAAAAGAAACTTTTGCCATTAATGAAATTTTAATAACTGCGTAATTGTTATTCCAATATATATTCAGAAAGAAACTCTTCGCTGTTAATGAAATTTCAATAGTTTCTTTCTGCATATGATAAAAATAGACTGAAAACCTTTTAGGCTTAATTTTATTAACTTTCTGTAAAATGCAATACTGTGCAAAATTCTTATTGGATCACTCGAAATTACTAGTACCACGTCTACTATATAGAGCAAAACATGCTCCCAACGGCCTGTCACGTGTCATACGGTGTACAAAGTCCAATGCAAGATTTCTCCAGACTAAGTGAGCTTTATGCATAATGCGTAAGTCCACAAACATTGGTGTTGTTGAATCCTTGTTGGTAAATATTGATTTGGCAAGGTCAATACAAGTACAGGCGAACAATTTGCATATTTACAACACGTGTTGCTTATAGAAGTATGCGGAAATGAACATCCGACAACACAGACATCGGCCTGCAAGGCAAAGAGAGAAACTAGATCCAGCACATGAGAAACAAGCATTTCTAAAGCAATAAGCTACTTTCGATGTATTAAAATTCAGCTTGACAGTGAGGCCTAGAAGACACAAACAATGAAATAAACATGGTGATTTAATTTCATTTGTTTGTGTCCTGTAGGCCTCGCTATTAAGCTGAATTTTAAAATGTCGAAAGTGGTCTATGGAAAGAGTGGATCGTATGATTGGCATTGACAATAAGGGTGATTTAACTTGATTGATTCAGGAGCGCTACTGTCGATATAAAGCTGGTTATTTTATAATAATAGGTCGTTTCTTCGTCGCTTAAACAAAAGCAACAAACATGCAGGTGCTCAGCTGTGTAAAAAAAAACATCCACAACGCTATAAAGCTATTATTGATAACTTAGAAAGGATCTCGCCCAATTCACCAATTTTGTGCGCACCAACTGTGAAGGTTTCAAAGCGACAAGAACGAAAATAAGGCTAAAATGAAGCTCTTTCCACTCATTCTGCTCGTCATATTCATTCAAGGTACACTTAAATTACAAGGAATTCCTTCGGCTTAGCAGTTCATGATTTTATATTAT